ATAGATATAAAATAACGATGTTGAAATATATACATTTTTTAATTAAATTTTGTAATTATGCACATAAAATTGAATATAGAGCATAAAAACAAAATTTTATGGGGTAATTTGAGATAGGTGCCGCACTAGCTTACATAATGTAGGACAAGCCCAAGTTTCATCTGTCTTTCTTATTTTAAATTTTTTTTTTACGGCAGCGGGTTGTTGGAGGTCCGGTGTTGGAGGTCCGGTTAGCTAACTCAGCATTAGTTAACTTCAATTAGTTGACATTCATTTTTTTTTCTTTTATCTTAATTTATTTTATTTTGATTTTTTTTTCCGGCGGCGAGTCGTCGGAACTCTGGTTAGCTGACACAATTTTTCCGTGGGCAGGTGTCGGAGCTCCGGTTAACTGACTATGCATTAGTTAATTTCAAGTAGTTGACATTCATAATTTTTTTAATATTATTTGTCCGGCGGCGGGTCGTTGGTGCTCCGGTTAGCTGATTTAACATTAGTTGACATTCCATTTGTTTTGTTTGTTTTTCTTTTTTTTTTTCATTTTTTTTTCGAAGGCGGATCGTCGGAACTCTGGTTAGCTGATTCAACATTAGTTCATTTCAACATTAGTTGATATTTGACATTCCATTTTTTTTTCTTTATCTATTTGTTTTCCTTTTAATTTGTATCCAGTAGTGGGTCGTCGGAGCTCCGATTAGGTGACTAAAGGTTAGTTAACTTCAACATTAGTTAATTTGACATTAGTTAATTTAACATTAGTTGACACCAATGCTAAAAATAAGATTAAAAAACTAATTTATTTTGCTTAAAAGAAATTGTTTTATAAAAATAAAAAAACATATCTACCAGTGTTAAAGTTAGCTAATGTTGAAGTTAACTAATGTTGGGTCAGCTAATCAGAGCTTTGAGTCTCCGACAACCTACCACTAGAAAAAAATAAAAATCAAAAAAAAGAAAAAAAAAAAAGAATTATTTAAAGTTCACTAATGTTGAAGTTAACTCATGCTGAGTCAGCTAACTGGAGCTCCGTCGACCCGCTTCTGGGAAAAAAAAGAACATAAAAATATTTTTTTCTTTCTAAAAAAAAAAAGATTTCTTCCAATGTTAAAGTTAACTAATGATTAATTTAACTAATGTTGAGTCCACTAATCAAAGCTCCGGCGACCCACCACTGGAAAAAAATAAAAATAAATAAATAATTGTTTAAAGTTAACTAATGCTGAGTCAGCTAACTAGAGCATTATATGATAATTATTAAATGAGTGTGCAAGTGTGAAATGGGAAAGAACTTAAAAACACACCTAAATAAAAATGTCAACTAATCAATTGATGAATGCACTTCATCAATTGAACTCCAACTAAGCAATTTGGAGGTATGACATAGGATTTTGCCACATGTCATTCAATGAAGGCATAGATCCTCTTTTTATATTATATATAGATAATATAAAACATTATAGAAATAAATAAAAATAAAATATAAATATTAAAAATGTATATATAATTACAATTTATTTATTGTTTATTTTGTAATTTTTTTAAAAATATTTCTTAATAATAATAAAATAATAACGAAAAAAATGAGCTTGGCTCGAACTCGAACTCGACCTCGACAAAATGGCACGAGCTCGAGCTCGAGCAAAAAAAAAACGAACACGACGAGCTTGAGGTCGGGCTCGAACTCGGCAAAATTGACTCGAACTCAAGCTCGAGCCTGTCAAAAGAGGCGAGCTCTGCTCGTTCACACCCCTACCCTATGTTGTGTTTAAGTCAGCCCACCGCCCATTGTTTGTACACTAGCCCGTTGACTTAAGTGAAATGACATAATTACCCTTAATAAAAAATAAAGCAAAAAAGACCCCAATGCCCAAAACTCTTATACATACCTCTTACCCCCAAATCGTATCTCAAATTTTTCTTATCCAAATCGTATCCACACATCTCTCACAGCATCTTTAGTACCCACCCCAAAAAACACTTCCCAAACAAGGGGTTCAGATACCACCTACTCAATTTACTCTTCCCTAAAAGTAGGACCCACATTTAACATTCCTTAAAAAAAATGTTCTAACACTACATATTCATATTTCCTAAAAATTTGTTTATATATCTTAAATAATAGTAAAATATTCAGGAATTAAATATATTATTTGAATTAAGTTATGAATTGTTAATTTAATACAATTAAAGTAATATTTGAATTAAGTTTTAAATAAAATATTTAATTAATATTCATTGTAAAATTTCTTTTAATAACAGTAAAAATTTATTTTCATCTTGAGCAAAAAAAAAATGTAACATCTCTTTTAATATTAGACTTAAAATTAAATATATTTCAGGAAAAAAAAAAAGCAAAATAAATGTTTTGTGCCTTATATTTTATATTGTAATTGAATTTATTAACACGACCCCAATTTAATGTAGGAGTATTAAAATATTGAACATGGCCCACAATTACCTTCCCAGATATATTCGACAATTCGTAGTAGTGGTCTATGAATTGTCTGTTTTTTTTTTTGTTTGATGCGTGTTTGTTATCCATTTTTCGTATTTTTTTTATTTTGTCAGACATGTGCTTGTCTGGAACTTCAGGTAACGTGTGGGCTTCTAAACCATTTCTTTAATCAAGTTGATTTTGTGTAGGATTTATGTTTTTTAGTGTTTGTCTTTAACTGATTAATTCAGTGAACATGTGGTTCAAAATTTTTGTCTTTAACTGTTACAAGAAAATCAACTTACTGAGTCTGAGCAGACTCCCGCTTTTTTTCATACCTCTAACACAAATTATCCAACAGTTCGTTCAACAGTTTCTGTGAATGTGGCTCTTGGCGTTATCGGCACAGGGGTGGCAGCTCCAACCGCCGCGGAGGTCATGAACCTGACCGCCATCCAATGCGGCAATACGGCTACTATAATGTTCATAGTCAATCTCAACTCTGGCGTGCATCTTCCAGCAACAGCCATCCTCGTCGCTTCTTGAACCACCTCCGACTTCTACATGCCTCCATTCCACTCCTGCAGCTCATGCTTACTTTCGTCGGACACTCGGACCCCAACAACAACTACTTGTTCATTGCTTACGGTCATTCCCAACAGCAATCCTGGCATAGTTCTGACAGTCCCACGAATTGTTACAACAGTTCATCGAACAGTGCCAACATGTTCGATCTGGCAAATCGCTTGAACACGGTGACCCTTCAGCAGCCAACAAAATCCCACTGATTCATGGACAGCAGGGCGATCTACCATATGGCACCACACTCAGGTAATATCATTTTGGTATTAATCCTAGCAGTACTTTCCCCAAACATGTTGTGTCGGTAATGGTTCCACCCTCTCCATCACCCACATAGGCCACACCATTCTTCTCACCATTCATTTTCGCCCCACTAATGTCTATGTCATACCCCATATCATCAATCACCTTACCTCTGTTCGAAAGTTCACCTGTGATAACTCTTATTCGGTTGAATTTGACCCGTTTGGTTTTTCTGTGAAGGATCTCCAGACCCGAGTTGAGATTTCTAGGTGCAATAGCTCCAGTGAACTATAACCCTTTGGCGTCTCTTCTTCCATTTCATCTTCCACTGCGGTATTCACTGTTTCAACACCTTCATCTCACACAACTTGGCATCGTCGTCTTGGCCACCCCGTCAAACACCTTGACGGCTATGTTTGTTTAGGTTTTCATATTTTTTTCATTCTTTCCCCAAACTAAAATTATCTTTCTGAAATATTTTCAAAAGCTTTTCCTAAAAATAATTATAATGTGTCTCTATCTAACAAACATGATTTGACTGCTACAATGAAAATTGTCTTCACTAAAATCACTTTATCCTTCAAATTCTTCTTCCAAGATATCTTTTAGACATAATTTGATTTGCTATAGCACAAATTGTCTCTTGTCAAAATACAAACAAACTTTATTTTATTTTCAAATTCTTCTCCCAAAACATCTTTCTCCAAAATGAAATGGAAATGAAGCCCAAAAGCTTACGCGTCATGTATTGTTTATTTTCTTGAAATTTATTTCCCATAGTAAAGTTCCTAGGGAGTCTATTGTAATGCCTGTCAATTAGACAAACATTTCCGTTTACCATTTTTTTCTTAGCAATCTACTAATGTTGCTCCTTTTGAATTTATTTATGCTGATTAATGGACTTCTCCTTTCTCTAATCGTACGGGTTTCAAATACTATCTTTTGTTAGTTGATGATTTTTACACTGGTCAAAATTTACATGAGTTTCCTCGCCAAAGCATTATCGGAAAGATAAAGCAGCCGAAGATTTCTGAGATTTCCAACAAGTTAGGCAGCCTGCCTAGATCAAGTTGTTCAAAAAATCGAGAATTTGAAGCTCGGAGGAAAATAACCATCCATTGAATTGTTGGGCATAAAGCTCGTCCAAAAGCCCCGAATCCTGGAGGGAAAGACCCGAAAGATTTAGTAATTCTTAGAGGGCACATATTTATTGGTTGAACAGAAGAAACATACATCGTCTTTCAAGCTGTGATATCTGTAAAGAAAGACTAGATTTCTTCTCTTCGAAGACCACCTTTTGCATCTCAATTGGCATGGCATCCAGTTCTAGTTGAATTGTCCATTCATGACTTCCAGTTCCAATTGTACGGTGTCTTTCTCGTGTTGTACCTAGCCGTTAATGATTCTTAAGTCTTCAGTACTCCTCTCTCCTAGTGCAGAAGCTTTCTCTCTCCGCTACATCATGGCTTATTTCTATTTATGGCCCATTTTGTCTTCTATATTTCAGCTTCAGCATGTTCAATGAAAGGGGGAAGAGGTTGAAAGCAAAATGGAGGGAAAATCGACACGATAGAATAGAAAATGGGAGGAAATTAAACCCTAGGTCAAAATGTATATTAAAAGACAAGTTTGCCCCTACCAAACTCACGTGATTCATGCCTGAATTCCCGGTGAAAATGGCCTGTAAAGGTCAATTTTTGGGCACCATGCAACGAAATGACAAGTTCAAAAAAACAAATTGTTTCAGGGTACAAAGTTTTTTTTACTCCAAAAAATATAATTCCAAAATCGAAAATATTCAGATCGGAATGGGCGAAAAAGAATCCAAAGCACATGATCATGACTCTTATGTAATACTTTTTATTTACATTTCAACTGAGTATGATGTGATTCCATCTCTACTCGTTTCATTCAGTACAAAATACTGTAAACGGAGAAAACCGACATTTACAATGTAGAAGAATTACAAGTTCTTAAACAATCAAAAACGTGACTGTTCGTAACGCCAATAAGTGAATCTGCAGCAGCATTGGCTAAAACAAATCCACTATTTAATTACATCCCAATGTCTTCATTCTCCACCCCACATGATAGATTAAAATTTCACAAACTGCAGAAAACAAACAAACTTAGTATTATTAACCTTGTCCTGGTGTCATATGTCGAGGAAAGAACATCGGAGAAAACAAAGAACATTTTCTGTAACAAAAAAAAAAAAACAGCGCATATATATGGTTTCAAAATAATTCGGTAGTTTACGAAAAAAAAAGCCTTACAAAAATATGGAGTTTGCAAAGGATTCAGAGATCAACACCCTCATCGAGGCCTTTGGAGTTAATCATCACATTGGAATCGATCTGCTTGTCGAACTTGCGTTTTCTTCGACCTTCAAATTGTTCAAATCCTTCCATCTGAATTAAGGAGACAAACGAAGGGATAATTAAGTGGTTTTTGACTAAAAACGAACATTGTTATTATATGATTATTTTGCATGAAAGACGAACCTGCTGAAAATAATCCATAGAAATGGGATTGCCATGGAGGGATATATTCTGCAGACTTTTGCATTCTTTCAATAAGTTTGGAGGTATCTGTTAAAAGTGGTATCAATGAATTCAAATATCCCGACAAAAAAAATATTAAAAAAAAAAAGTTAAAAAAACAAATATTCGCTTAGTAATCCTAAACGGGGATGGTTGTTAGGTTAAAATTAATTAAAGTTCATAACTATAAGCAACATAAGGTGGCGACTAATTTCCCAGTAATCGCCAAAAAAGATTTGCACGAATAAATCCACACTACATTATCTAAATTGAAATATCTCCGTCTCCTCACATGTACATAGATTGGTAGAGTTGACACATTTCTCGAGCAACTGAAGGCTTCAAAATAAAATAGTAAGAATCACTACTCCCTGAAATGTAATTTTTTTAAGCAGACTGATTTTTTTTTATTTTTTATCATTTAAGAATTATAAAACGTATTAACGACAAGTCTAGATGAGTGTGAAACCTGCTTCACGTTGTTATTGTCCAAGCAGAGTGACTTAAGATGCACCAAATTGCACACCGACGATGGAAGCTCTTCGATAGAATTTTCTGCACCGAATATTCAGAATACAGATTCAGGGTGACAAAAAAACGAACATATTTATACCCGACCGCAGTCGATTTCCGGTAAATAAATATTTTAATAAAGTGATAACTGAGATTCATACCATTAGCTTGAATTTCCTCCAACGAGAAGCAACTACCGATCGACTCTGGAAGAGACTTTATTTTGTTGTTCGACACGTTTAACAGCACCAACTGCAAACCCAAAATATATGCATCAATTCATCAACAATTTCTTCGCAGACCAACACCAACTAGACAATAAATGAATATAAAAGTCGGTACATTTTCATGTATTTAGTTCAGCCACGTAAGATTTTTATCGACTTGTAACATGCCCCCTACGTAGTTTTTTTCCGTTCAGTTTTCGTTTCTTAATAATTTTAAGCAAGTAATAGAAGTGGATATTCATAATATGTACGGAAAGTATGCTTACAGGATAAAATTTTCATTTGATCATGATTATAATACATTAAATATTCAGTCGTCGTAAACTAACAATTGGCCGTTATTTCATTTTCGTCTCAAATATTTAAAAAAAAAATCAACTCATTTTTTTCTCATATTTAAACAAATCGACAATCAAATATAATTATGCACTAACTAAAATAAATCCAGATGGGAGGTTTCGATTAATTTTCAAACTTGGAATAGTTAGATGTAATTAGACCAAACTCGGACGCATGTAAGTAAATAATTAACTTAGTGAGTGATGCGGGTAACAATATTATTTACTGAATTTGGATCTCGATAAAAGACTGAATCACTCAATAATTGATACGGTAACTATATAACCATGTACCCGTATAAAATTGATCAACGACACTCCACAAGTTTCTGAAAAACGAACAAAAGTATATATATATAAGTTACTCACATTGCGCAAGCTCCCTATAGTTTCGGGTAGGTTGAGTAACAGATTTCCAGATATCGATAGCCTCTCCAGTTTAACCAACTGACCCACTGGACATTAAAAATAAATTCATCAAGAAAAAAAAAATCGAACAAAAAAAATTCGATAGACTAAGAGGGAACTTACATTCATCGGGCAGTGTACTAACTCGATTTCCATCAAGTGTCATAGCTTTTAAAGACTGAAGCTTCCCCAAGTTCATTGGAAGACGATCAATAATATTATCGGCTAAAATCTGTAACAAAGGATCGGTTTAGTTATAATGAATTAGGACAACCTTTAATGGAAACACCTAACTATCAACTGCGCAAAATGCACAAAATCAGTCAATTGAATATAGCTACGAAACATGGATATATGCTTCAAGAAAAGCCTTACACCTACAGTAGAGCCTCGATAAATTAATACTCGATAGTTTAATAATCTCGCTTAAATAATAATTTCTCCTCCAGGTCCCGACTCGGTGTAAACGTACTAAATTATTAGTTTCGATAATTTAATAACGCTTAAATTAATAGAATTTTGCTAGTCTCGACTGTATTAGTTTACAGAGGTTTAACTGTAGTGAAGGAGTGAGAGACTTAAACAGTAGCCATTAAAATTCCGACCTCTTGCAAGAATAATTTATTTCCAGGTCCTTGTTAGTGGATTTTAACAAACTCAAATAATTATTTATCAACCAAAAGTAGTGGTTCGAATGGTTTGAACACTTCTTTAACTTGGAATTATTCCGAATCAAATAATGGCTGTTAGTAATCCTTTACTCCTCGATAAGATGTGTGGATGACAATTTCTTTTTTTAAAAATTAATTCCGTTCCGTAGAACCGTTAACTCTCCTACTTCTCGTAAATTCCTATACGATGTGTTGTAGAATTTGGAAGTGTTTCTAACCAGATAAACTACACAATCATCCACACAACAAAAATCATGCGAAAATCATCAGCAATATTTCACTCGTTGCATAAGAAAGAATATACGTTTCGACATTTTGGAATGCTCAAATTGCGACGCATCGAAACAATAATGCATATTTAATAAGCTGTAAAATAATAGCAAGACATAAAAAAAAGACGGTAGTCGGAAATTCTTACCAACCGCTGTAAGTTAATCAATTTGCTGATCTCCATCGGGATTTCAACTGCAAGGGAAAACGAATAGATATAAGAGAAATAAAAACGCAAAGTCGAGTGACAAATTCCACATTCCATTCAGAATTGATGCATTTACACTTCGTTAATTGCGTGACATAGAGACTGACAAGTGTAGATATAACAGTTTACACGAGCTCGAAATCATTCTACGAGTTCATGTAGCGCGAAATGAAACACTTCGGATACGAAAAAGAGTATTACCTAACTTGTTGTGCGTCAAATCAAGCGTCCGCACCGATCTTTCCAAATCGAGAATATCATCTGGAAATGTCTGCGGCAAGGTAAAAAAATAAAATCGAAAAACAAATATCCAGTCAGCATAACAGATATATATATATATATATATATATATATATATAAGCAAAATCCTATATGCAGAACATCAATACATACTGTCACACTTTCATAGCGTACAGTAATGACAATTTCGATTTGTACCATCAAATGAATAACTAAAAAATTGATTCACAAACAAAATTCCAAAGGTAGAAAAAAGAAAAACGCAAAGCCCATAACATAAATTAATTCGGCGTAAAAAAAAAAAAAAGAAAAAAAAAAGAAAGAAAGATGCCTTTAATTTAGAGTCGCGCAAGGCGACGATGCCGGTGGAGCGCCACCGAGCGGCGCGTGTGGCTTTGGAATCAGCGCTCTTACTAGTGCAACACCCCATTTCAAATTCGATTAAATTGCAATTTAATCCCTTTCAAAAGGGTCAAAAAAACCACATAGATTGGCTGTGTTTTTTTCTCTAAGATATGTGACGATCAAAGGATGAATTGAGAAGAAAAAAAAAAGGCGGGTCAAATTGAGAAAGGAGGATGAGAGAGAGGAGACTTTGAACGAGAAACCGCGTTAAATTTTTGTGGGGTTTTTAGGGAATTATTCATTCATTCATTCATTCATTCATTCTTCTCTCCTTTCTTCTTATTTCTTTTTTCCTTTTTTTTTTTTCCTGATGAGAGAGAAAGAACGCGTCTCTCGTGTGTTTGGTTCCTACTTCCTAATAACGTTTTTTTTTTAATCTTTAATTTTTAATTTCTAATTTCTAATTTCTAATGATGTAAGGCTGATCTCACTTTTTGAGTTGTCGCAACCGTTCTACAAAATCTAACATCACTGGAAAAGTACAAAACCAAACCCATTTTCATTTTTATGATCCAATCCCTGTTTTATTATTTCCCACACCATCCACATGAATTGACTACGGGGCTTGATATTCCGTTACCATCTTTACGAGTACGAATTTATAATAATTCACTCTCGATATCACTCTAGAAAAAATATCCTCTCAAGTTTTTATATTAGAAATCGTCCCGAAACTCATTTTATTGTAGCAATTTACCAAAGGAAAATGAGGGCATCGTATGAAGATCGAGATACACAATCCAATAGGGTAAAATTTGTTCGTTTTTGTTCTATAAATCAAGAAAACATGGCTCACAACCAAAATGGGCAGGGAAAAATAATCTGCATGCCCAAGTTGGGCGTGTAAAACACTGATCCACGCCCAAAGTGGACGCCCGGTCGGCCTTTCTGCTCCCGGTTTGAGGGCGCAGCACTTTTTTTCACGCCCGATTTGGGCGCTGACTACTTCTGCAGTTTTTTTAAAAAAAATTTACTACTGTTATTACTACTCTTTAACTTTATTTTATTTATAATTATTTCAGGAAAAAACAACAAAATTATTCTACGGTTGAAGTTGATCATAGTGAGCATTTTGTAGTAGTGGAACTATTTAACTTGAGGGATGAGGGTGAGAGCGACCGCTAAGAATCTTGGTGTAAAGTTTGTGAACCGTAGTTAGGGGTGGAAATCGGAACGAAAATTTCTGATTTCCGCCGATTCTGATCTAAATATTTTCGATTTTGGAAATGATTTTTTGTAATCCGATTTTTGAAATTCTAATTTCCGATTTTTTCGATAAAAATCGGATCGAAATCGGAACTTAATATTAACTTTTCGAAATTTCCGAATTCCGATAAAAAATAATTCCAAAGTTTCCAATTAATTCCGAAAGTTTCCGATTTTTTATGTATTTTAAATTAGTTTTTATATATTACATTAAGAGGGTGTTTGGCTAAGCTTATAAGATGTTAAAAGAAGCTTATAAGATGTTTTAGAGCTTATAAGCTCTTCCAAAGTGCTTGGTAATTTTTTTAAAAAATATCTTACTTTTTTAATAAAATAAGCTGTCGGAGAGCAAATAAAATATTTTTAAAAATAATACCTCTACCCCACCTTTTTATTTAAGATCTTATAAGGTATAAAAATAGGAAATAAGCTTATTATCCACACACTCTAAAAATTAATCCTAAAAATAAGATGTATCAACTTATCAGCTCTTAAAACATCTTATCAGACGTAAGAGCTTATCAAATGTTTAAAATAAACTTAGCCAAAGGATTGGGCCATAATTGTATTTCAATATATTTATATTTTCACCCATTAAATTTTGGCCCATTGCCGCCAAAATCTTATAATCCAAACATAATTTCTTATTTCCCCTTAGTTCTTAACGGCGCAACTGTAACATTTTCTCCACTTCTCTTTCTCTTGGTTTCTAACATGTTTTTGCTGCTCCGACTCTCAGCTTCTCCTTGTGAAGTCACGGCCGCTCAACAGCTCAGCCTCTCCTTGTGAAGCCGCCATCTGCTCTTGGTGTAGTTGTTTTTTCTTCAATCGGTCATTCTTTTTCCATGAGAATCTTGTAGGGCATTTCTTGTTTATTTCGATCGATCACAAGATCTCAACAAATTTGATGTAAAATTTCAAAACATTTGAGATGTTTTCACCAATAATCGTTAAATTAATGAAAATTTTGAGATATGTGAAAAAATCCGAAAAACATTGTGTGTTTTTGTGTTTTTTGTGGGTGTGTCTATGGTTTTTTGTTGTGTGTGCAAGAAATCTGTGAAAATTAAAAAAAAAAAATCGAAAATGAAAAATTCAAATATATCCGATGTTCCAAAATTTTTGAAAAATCGGAATCGGATTAAGTTCTTGGATTCCGAAAAAATCGGAATCGGAATCGATATTGCGGTTACGAAAAAAATCGGAATTTTTCTGAAATTCGCGTATCCGATCCGACCTGTCCGATATTTACCCCTAAGCTTAGTAGTCCTAAGAATAAAATATATCTTACTTGTAATCTATTTGGGACGAAATGAGTAACTTCAATGAACATAGATGTGGAAAACAAAAAATGGGGCGACACAAAGAAATATAATTGTAAATTTTACTTGGTGGGAGCCGAACACTACGAGGAAAGATGGGAACTTAGAATATTATATGGGAAGCATAATAAGTTCATGAAACTGGCCACTTTATGTGCTTCTATGTTATTGTTACTCTCATGAATCTGAAGATCGGGTTAATAATTAGAGTTGTGGTAGAAGAGCCTTTGTGGTATTAGCATAGGAATATAGTTAATCTCTTAGGTAGCCATTATTTGAAATTTGTGCTTACTGATGTGTTCTAGAATTAATTTCGTAGGAATACAATAATTGAATCTAGAGTATTAGAACCATAATACACGCGGAAGTTGGTTATGATTTATTTAGCATCTCAGGTTAATAATCCGAGTTAATTACTTGCATAATTGAAGGAATTGGGGGATTAATAATCACATAGGGGGAAGAATAAAATCTTAGGCTTGCTTTCTCTGATTAAATCTTCGTTTTTATTTGTTTCTTGCTTTTATTTTTTTTAATTTGCTTTAATTTAGTTTAGCTAATTTAGTATAAATGTTCATCTTTCGACTGTGTATGGTGGGCTTGATAACAATTGGTAGGATTTAGCGTCTAGAATTAAATAATTAAATATTCTCTATGGGATCGATACGTGGACTTAAAAATCCATTGTATTACTTGTACTATACGTGCACTTGCGTGTAGGTATTACAACCAACAAGTTTTTGGCGTCGTTGCCAGGGAATATTTTAATTATTTATTTTATTCTAGCTCTAGATTTGAACAATTTTCACGATTCACGCAAATTAATTTTATTTATTTATTTTTATTTCTTAGTTTATATTATTTTAATTTTTCTATTTGGTTACATGTCAGGTTATAATTTTCGCCAGGCGAATACTTCCAAAACACCTATGATATGCCATTATTTTGTTCAATATGTGGTAGAAATCATTACACAAACCAATGTTGGTATGCATTGAAGGCGAATAATTTCATGGATAATACGACCAGAGGTTATTGGAACACGTACGAACAAAACATTCTAAGCCAATATTTCAATGATTTTCAACATCGAGAACCGTAATTTGATGATTTTCATACCTATTATGCAAGGCCACGAGAACCCACTATTCAGGAGTGTTATTTGAACTCCATCCTTGAAGATTTTATGAAATCCACTCAAGCATATATCCGAAGAATAGAGATATAGTTGGAAGAGATCAGGTTCCAGAGGTCTCTTAAAAATATTCCAAACGATATCGAGAATGGTTGCAACAAAGAAAATATGTCTAAAACTTGTAGTCCTTTAGACCTAGAAAATAGTGTCGATGAGAAGGAAAAAGAACTTACGAAGACGCTTCATGATGATGAATATGAGAATGCAATCGAGCTACACTCCAAAGATATCTCGGAACAAGAGATTAAGGAGATGGATGTGGTTAGTGCAAATATTAAAATTGAGGATCTTATCATTGTTACTGACGTGGCTTCGAAGGCATCAATAGTGGTTCATGAGAAGACGAATGTGTTTGAAGTGGACGTTATACGCAGACTTTAGGTTTTTGTGTACCAATTTGAGTGGGTGGCTGATGAACATCCCATCTTAGCTTCACACCGCTTGATTACAACCAAAAAAGACTACAAGCTAATGTGGAACCTGACATATTGCAATCCTATCCTTGCATTGGTTCTAATTGAAGTTATAAAGCCAATGGATATGGATGCGCAATCTACAAGGCTTTGTATTGGACATAACAATTTCAACAAGCAAAGTCTGGCTGAAGACTTAAAATTTAGCGTTTCTCGGGAGGCAACCCGAGCATTTATCATTTTTCTTCTCATATTTTTCGTATTTTTAGTTGTTTTTTATTTTCTTAGAATATATATAAGCTTGAAATCTAAAAATTTATTCATGTTTGAATTTCTAGGTCGAAAAACGGACACAAAAAGCCCAGACGGCCGTCCGAAAATCAAGCCTAAACTCCAGACGGCCGTCCGAATTACGACGAGTTGTGCACCTTCAGAAATTGAGACGGCTGTCTCAAAAATAGTGCAAAAGTAGAGACAGCCGTCCGGAACACCTCTAAAAAAAATCGAAAAAATAAATAGTTTGCTTGAAAGAGGAAGAGATGGAGGAGTGCAACACGTGGATGACGTTTCGACTAATCAAGGTGTATTCTATCCTTAAACTTCGTTTTAATTACATTTAGGACAATGTAAATTTTATTTTTGGGGGGTGGAAAAACACATTTTATGTGCTTTATATGTTTTAGATTGCATGCTTTAGGATTTTTTTTCTTTTTAGTCGTTTCGCTTATTTATTGTTTTCTTTAAAAAAAATGTTTGAGTTGAATGCATTAATGAATTTCGATGATGAAAGATGGTGAATGTTTGTGATGATATTACTTGCTTTGTTGTAGCTATACATGAATTTTGTTGAGCTTTTGATTCAACGTAATTTAGGAGCAAGTCATTGTTGAGAATCATGAATTATGTGTTGCTTTTGTTGAAAATTTTGTTTTTTAAATATGGAGTTAATTTATGCTATATCATGTGATGTTCGATTTTAGAACTCACCTTAGGAATTTGCAAAGTGAAGTATTGAGTCGTTGAGTGATTTGGGATGCGATTTGGGCCTTCTTTGAACCATTTGAGCCTTTCAAGCCTACCTTTAACATATTTATCACTAGAACCTTGATTCTGCCTTGGAGAAACGGTGTTCTTTCTTTTAACTAAAGTGGGTAGATTAAATGGAATTTCTTGATAAATTATCCCTTCGAGTTTGGTTGAAAATTTGTTAGGTTTTTCTTCTTCTTCTCAAATAAAAAGAAAAAAGAAAAAAAAAAAGAAAAGAAAAGGAAAAAAAAAAAGAAAGAGAAAAAGAAAGAAAAAAAAAAAAGATAACTAGAAGGGAAAAAGACGATATGCGCAAATATTTGAATAAAATCGAACCATACCTCAAGAGAAAAAGTGGAGACTTTTGAACTCTTGAGAATCGAGTAGGATAATAAGTCCTTAGAGGTGAATAAGGGATTCCAAAAAGCCAAATCTTCAAACTCAGCAGAAATACATCAATTCAAGAAAAGAAGATAAGAATCTTGCTTAGTGCAACTCATTATTCAATAATGACAAGATCGAAAGGAGAAGAGTAGCCACTTAAATCCATATTTCCTACCGCACCAAAGAGCCCAAGAATTGAAAGCCAAAAAGTCGCAATGATCCCAATAGCTCAAT